GCTGGTAAAGTAGAGCACTTGCAGACCTTAGGTACTCACTCCAGAGGGATGTGTGGAAGAATGTGAACCACAACAACGCTTGGGATCACAAGGACTGGAAACTAGCCAGATGTCCACTGATAAGAAGCTACTTAGGGAGTTGTGGCATGTTCCCACAATAGAATATTACAGGGCAATAAAAATGAACTGCAACTTGAGGTTTAAGTTTGTATGAAATTGGGTGAAAGACCCATGGTACCACAGTCTGCATGCAGCAGGGATCATTTTTAAAAAGTTCAAAAACAAACCAAAATAATATAGTCATTATATATAAAAACCCAGCAGAATAAATATAAAACCAAGACAGTGGTTACTCTGGGAGTGGAAGGTGGTGAGGAAAGTACACAGGAGCAGGACCAGCAGATGGCATAATAGTTACATCGCTGGACTCCCATGTAGTCAATTGCGGTTCGAGTCTCAGACTCGGAGGCTTAGAACTCACACCGGGTGCATATACATATGTGCCCAAGATCCTGAGAGGAGAATAATGGAGGAGACAAGATTGTGGTATGGCCATCCTCCCTGGGGGGTGATTTCTTGCTTTCTGTCTCTGTCTCTCTGGCCAGCACATGCACCCTATAGCAAAAAATCTCTCAAAAAAAAATAAATAAATAAGAGAGTGAGAGAAAACACAGTACACAGGAGACAGAGTAATGAGCATGAGCATGTCCTAGAACTTAACTGAGTGCAGGTTCATGGGTATTTGTTGTATTGTAGCACTTTGTAACAGACAGATATGTTACATAAATTCTCTTGTATATAGCAAATATAAAACATACCAAGTATTTTAAACAGCCTGGACTAGTTAATCCTTAGGAGCCCCTTCAGCTCTAGGTGATAGTTTCTCAGCCAGAGTAGCAGCTACCAGTTTAGGGAGATTTGATAAAGAACTCTCCATACTCTACATCATCATCCGGTTATCTGGACATTCATTCTTTTTGACTTCTCAGAGTTAATGATCATCTCAGGGGCCTGAGGACAGAACCTCTCTCCTGTAAGGTTTGCTTTACAATGTGGGTCCTCGAGGGACCTTGCCACATGTGTGGACGTGGAAGAATTAGGTATGCTTGAGCTATAATTAAGCAGGCTGATATATTTGTCTCCATTTAACTCAACTAAGCACTGTTCTCTGGACAACTACTCACAGGCATGGAACATATTGTTTTTCTTTGGTTCCTTTGTTTTATTTGAAATAGCAAAAAAGTCTGTAAATCATAATGGTCTATAGAAGTAATAGTCTTTCAAAATGGAGAGAGGTTTTACATTTTTATTGCTTTCTTTTGAAAAATGTCTTTAAAAATGGGGAACTTGATTTTAACTGCTGGCCATAAAAACATGATGTATCATGTTCTATGGCTTCCTCCTCCCCTAAGAAATCTTGCAAAGGATCTACAAATTCAGCTGGTAGGATCATCTGAAATGTTGATTAAGACCTGAGCTGGCTTAAAACCTGAGAAAATACTTCCTTGAACTGCTCAGCTGTTTGCAAAGAAGCATATTACTTAATATTTACCTGGACTCTTGGGTAAGGAAGTAAGAGTGAACATGACATGCTAAATTAGAAAATGACAGTGTCCTTTGAAAGTTTAAAAAATGCTCTGCTTATGAACCAAATAGATAGCTGAGTGCCAGGCCTCTTGGTCCCATTAAGATAAGGCCTCTCTCAGGGAACAACCATTGTCATCTCTCCCCTCCAATGACTCTGATGATAATAGCTTTTAATAGTGGTTTCTATCTCTGGTCTTTCTTCAAGCCTCAAAACAAATCCCCACCACACTTTTCCCTAAAGACATCACAGCATCATTTGTTGCACTTGAATCTATGCCCCTTAGCTACTCATTTGCTTCCATGTCCAAAGTAAAGAAAATGTCCCCCGGGAAGAAATTTAGTTGTACAAAGGGAGACACTGCAAACCATGTGGGAATAAGGTAAACTTCTCTGTCAAGGGTGATACAGGAGCAGACAATGTTATATAGAACTCTGAGTTGCCTTTATTATTTTTTTTTTGTAGTTAGCCATGGGTAGAGGATGTCTGCAGGATGAGCTGGTTCAATGTGCTCCCTGATGAATTCTGAAACACTGGCAGTTCCCAGGCACTATTTTCAGAGTGGTGCTGACACTTGTTAATAATGTTGGTATACCAAGTTGTGCTCACTTTAAACTCATTTAGACACAAAGAAAATGAGCTAGAGTGAGCCAGAAGAGAAAGGGGGAGAAAATTAAGTTACTGTTATCAGAGATAGAATGTTTAAAGTTGCAAATTAAAGCAGAAACCTTTTTCTGTCAGAAGCAAGTATAAGGGAGAACTTAGTACAAGCAAAATTGTTAAGTGACAAGCCAATATAACCTCCCTTCTTGAGTTCGCTAGCAGCTTGCTCCTATGCACTCTCCAATAGGCTTTTAGTTGGCTCTGGCTACCTACTCCCATATTATGAAATTTCCTAGAACTTCTAGAATTAATGAAGAGCTTGATGCTCTATTTTTAAATAGTGATTGCTCCCTGCTCTGGTTCATTCCATTGCTAATAACAGAAAATACCAGAGTCTGGGTAATTTATAAAAATAGAATCTTACTGCGTTCAGTTTGGAGGTCCAAGGTCCAGAGGCCAACTCTGGTGGAGGTCTTGCAGAGTACCGAGGTATTGCATCACAAGGGCCAGAGCAGAGTAGAATGGCTGTCTGTGAATCTGTCTCCTTTTCCTTCTTTATGAACTTACCAGGATTCAATCATGGGGGCCCCACCCTAATCACCTTATCACCCCCAAAGGCCCCACCTTTTTTTTTTTTTTGGAGAGGTTTTCGCTATAGGGCGCGTGCGCTCGCCAGACAGACAGAGAGAGACATAGAGACAGAAAGCGAGAAATCACCCCCCAGGGGGGATGGTCACGCCGCAATCCCTTCTCCTCCATTCTCCTCTCGGGATCTTGGGCACGCACGCACACGCGCCCGGCGTGAGATTTAAGCCACCGGGTCCGAGATGCGAACCGCGGTCGACTACGTGGGAGTCCAGCGACATAGCCATTACGCTAACTGCTGGTTCCCAAGGCCCCACCTTTTGACACCACAATGCTTTAAGTTTCCTCTTAATACTTTTCGATACAACCAGGTTGCAACACCTGAATTTGAGGAGAATGCTCAAACCATGGTTCCTAAGTGCAACATGGGATTTGGGATTGGACTCCGGAACAGGAAAAGGACACTGGTGGAAGATCTGGTAGAATCTGCAAACAGCCCGTGGCTTAGTTAATAGTGTCATGCCAATTTAGCATCTTAAGTTTTGATAACTATTCCAGAATTATATAAGATGTTAAAGGAAGGCTGGGAGGAGAAGATATGGAAACCCTATATACTATCTTTACAATTATTCCATAAATCTAAGCTTACTTCCAAACATAAAGCTCAATGAATGATGCCCCTTTCATTGATGTGACACTGAAAAGCAGACATTTGTACCTTTCTCTAGACCACAAAGCAGGCAACAGGACAGGGTAGCCAGGAAGGAGAACGACTGTATCCCAGAGTGGGATGCTTGGCACACAAGTAGTGTCTCGTTGCACTGTGTTTCCTTTGTTTAAACAGGCAGAAAGGCTGGGACCTAGAAAAATCAATGAAATGAGTTCAAACAAAAGAGGCTGAGCCCATTACCTGTTTCAGTCACTGCTCTCAGTCAGACTACATTTTCTGACTAGTCCTTGATTCACTGTACTAAATATTTTAGCCACTACTATGAAGACTGGGAGATTTACTGCTGCTCATTCAAAAGGGTAATATCAAGAGCTGCAACATGATTCCAACTTTTGGTACCTTTCTCATTTTTAAAATTTTTACTTACTCTGTAAGTGAAAGAAACAGGGAAGTGGTGGAAGCGGAGGGATATAGCAGCCCAAACAAGGTCTCATTGCTACAATCTATCCCTAGCTTAAGCCAGACCTGGATCACATATGCCCAGTGAACCTAGGGAGGTCTCTAGACACGAACCTGGAACCTTCCAATGTGGATGAGCCTCACGGAGGATCAAGTTTTACACAGGGTCACTGTGTGGCCCCAGCACACCTTTCTTTAGGTTTAGGGCCCTTTAAATGTCCTTTATAAATAGTTTCTATGAGTAGTCAATATTAAAAATTTACTTATCTTTACTAGATAAGGGATATTGAAATTAAAATTCTTAGAGTAATTGTTATGAGTAAGCATCTGTCTTACATTCTGTTCCATTAAAGTATTTTAAAGAGATTTTTCTCTTGAACACAAAAAATATCTGCTATATATGAAACATACATATGATCTCAGCAGTTATTTTCTTTTTGCCAAGGTCAAAGACATATCTTCACATAAAAACAATTGTTCCACGCGTAAAGATAAAAAAGTATCCAGGAGTTGCTTTGAGGAAGATGGAAGAGAAGAATATTGACTTAGAAACTGACTTCTGTGGGGTTGAATCATTCAGTATTTCAGCATTCATTTTATTATTTCAGTTATAGGATTCTAGAAATTTCTCAGGTCCAGTGAGAAACTTCAGATGCTCTATATGGTACTCAGAATTTTCTTAGGGAGGTGGAATTTTTATGTAAAATTAAAAACACATGACTTCTACTATAGACACAGTAAGAAAATCCAGTAGCAGATCACTGTGTAAAGATAGACTTGAGAATTATTTCATTTTATTAAATTTGCTATAGGGCACATGTGCTCACCAGGGACAAAGAGAGAAAGCAAGAAAGCAAGCTGCCAGGTTTGCAAATAGCCATGTGAGAGTCCAGTGACCCAACCGCCAGGCCACCTGCTGATCCCAAGACTTTCTGACAAATGGTGCTGGGATGACTATGTGGGCTTTTTCTTCCGAGCTGGGAGGGTTTTCAGCAGAGTTGACAAGATCTAATCTCTTTTCTTTCAGACTCTTTTTTTAAAGAAAAATTAATTTATTTATTTCTTCTGAGTAGGAGAGATAACCACCAACAGGGTCCTGATGCCATCATCCACTCCCACCCCCAAACAGCTCTGAATCATGGGCATGCATGCCTGGCATGGCCAGGGGGCTTTACAGACGTAAACCTGGAACCTTTCCACGTGGGTCACCCTCACAGAGCATCATGTTTTACCACTGCACCAGCTATCTGGACCCGAGAGCTGATGTTTTTGAACAAGACTACATTGGCTGCTATGAACATGGGGTGGAGGTGAAGGCAGGGAGGCAATTAGGAGTTAACCTTATTAATCTGGAAAAGAAATGGTGGTCGCTTGGGCCTGGGCCCAGTGACACCACGGACATGTGGAGGTGGAGGCCAGATCCTGCAAATGATTTGAAGGTAGGTCCACATACATATAGCTCTAGTATGTGGTCCCTGCAGACATTTTTTTTTTTAAGAGAAAAAAAATTTAGGATTAACTTTAAATATTGAGTTGTCAGAAAAGCCATGACATTGTTTTGTTTCTCTATGCAAAAATGTGTCATGATTTTTCTGACAACCTAATACAAAGCTATCTGTGAAAACAGTAATGCCAAACGTAAGTAATGTGCTTTTCTCACTCTGAATTGTTTTCGGGGCTTCGGCTATGTCCAGGTGCTATGGAAGAAACAGAAGTCTCACGTTTCAAGGACACAGTAGTTTCCTACAGAGAATGTACTCATATTTATGCATATTATATGAACAAAATACTGATTGCTAAAACATGGATTTATTTGGGAATTATGGTCAAATACGACCAAAGACAAAATTCCGATAGCTCTGCCAATCATCTGCAGTACCAGAGTTACAGAACTAGAACTTGTACAAAACGTATATACGTGCCAAGCCACTCATTATCTAGCACTAAAATCGAGTGATAAAAACACCAGTTCCATCTTCAAACAGCCATTTTAAAAGCATTTCTGTCATTCTAAGTTTGTATTGATATCTGCACCATCTGGATACCCAAATCGCTCCACAATTTCCAACAACAAAGACATTTTTCTTTAGTGTGGAGTATCGGAGGTGGGGAGCAGTGGTGTGGGGTGAACAGCCTTTCACATAGTCCAACGGGTCCCAGGAAATGCTGACTCCTACTCAGCCTGAGGCAGCCTCCTCGATCTCCAGGTGAAGTTTTGTTTGCTTAAACATTTTTTTCTGTAAATGGCTGGGATCCTGCAATAATGCTGCAAACTTTACTGACGAGGAAATATATAATCAAGGTCTCTAGCTGGCTTTTATCTGCCATGTGGAGTTTCTCAGACACAGATCTTCACAACCCACAAGCTCAAGTGTCGATTTCCAGATGTAATAATGGCTGGTTAACACCCCTTAATAACTACTTTGCAGTTCCACACGACTCCCTGACAGCTTTTCTAGACAGGGAATGGAGTGAGTGTGCGGGTATTCTATGGATCTCAGACAAAAAGAAGCTATGTTGAACGATTTCCACCCTAGGCTGACCACAGTTTCATGAATTCCATCTCATAAAGTCCAGATTACAGAATGTGAAAGCAATGTCTTCTTAGTCAAAGCCATACTATTCATCTGCCTCTCCTTTTTCTCCCCACACACTTAGGAACTGTTTTTGGAAATTGGAATAACTCCCCACAAGCGAGTGGCAGGAGATATTGACCAGTCAGGCCTGCATCATGGGGATGCTGTCTGTTGTACAACCACAGGAAGATGAGGTACATAAACTCAAGAGAGCCTTTTGTGAAGGTGAAGATGATCCAATTTGTGCCTGTCCTTTGCAGCTAATGAAAATGGACAACTGAGGTTGTCCAGACTCCCAGACACAGGAACCTCTGTTTCAGCTCTGCTGCGATGTATTCATCAATGATTCTTATTTCCCTGATTCCTCCTCCGCTATGGGTTCTGGATAGTAAGGCCTAGGCTGTGTGTCAGCAGAGTGGGATAGTCCTGGTAGACTCACAGGGTTGAGGACATCCTCCAGCACAACCATCCATTCCCAGCTAGATGGTACCACTCCTGAGACTGCTGCTGAAATAAGCCATGAAATGGGGCATGATTCTGGTTATGACAAGGTCAACCAGCTCCTTTCAAGGACCTAAAAGGGATACATCAACAGGCGTGATTCTGCATTCTCCCAGCCTTCAGTTTTCCATGTCAGAGAGTTTTCTTTTCTTGTAATTCTGAACAAGGCTGGACGCTGTGATCTGAGAAGCCTGTCCCTTCTCCCAACACTGGAAGTCATTCAGTCCTTTTTGCCCTGTTTGAAATAAGTCCCTTTCCATCTCATCTAGCCTGGCTACCAGTGCTGAGGTGTCCTCATTGTAAGCATTCTGGGAGGAGTCCATGATGCGGCGAAAACGTCCAATAAATGTCTGAAGAATGAGGGAATAAGAGAAGTCAGGGTTGATCTCATGGCCATAGCCCATAAAGCCAGATTTATTTTGATCGTAAAACATTTAAACAGCATGAAAGGAAAGAATCTGATTTCAAGATTTAGTCAGGAGCTCCGAGTCCCCTCAGTCACTCAAGTAAGTTATTTTGCATTGTCAAGCCTTGATTTCCTTGTCTCTGAAATGAATTATCAGGATAAATCCAATGGTTGTTGTGAAAACCAGAGAAGTAATGTATACAGCATCTAGTAAATGGGTCCTTAGCAAGCTCTTGGAAAAGCATTTCCTCTTATTGTTATTAGTGACAAAGGTAATAAAGTACTGCAGCCACATGCAGTTTTCAACCAGGAAAAACTCTTGATTTAATTGAATACCGTGTTTTCTGTTTTGTTTGTTTTGTTTTGGTCTGAGTGTATGATGGAGATACACAGTATCCAGGGGTGCCATTTTACAGTCGGACTGTGAGCACAAGTGACAAGCCACCACTATAGTGGCTTCACCTGTCTCACGGTAGAGTCATCCTAACGGCAAGTATCATTAGTTTGAAGCTCTTTGAGGAAGTGATGGAAAAAGAAAATGTACAACTCACTTAAAAGAGGCAGGATTCAGAGCCCGCAGGTGGAATGGTGGTTAAAGCGCTGGACTCCTACATGTCCAACCACGGTACGAGGCCCAGACTTGGCAGCTTGAAAATCTCACCAGGCACATGTGCATATGTCCCCAAAATCTCAAGAGGAGAATGGAGGAGAATGGATTGCAGTGTGGCCATCTCCCTGGGGGGGGATTTTTCATGTTCCCTCTCTCTGTCTCTCTCTCTCTGGTGAACACATGCACCCTATTGCAAAAACCTTACAAAAAATAAAAACAGGGGTGGGGGGGTTGATTCCAACATATATCTCGAGGACACCCCCCCACCCCGCTTTTGAGAGGTTTTTGCTATAGGGTGTGTGCGCTTGCCAGAAAGACAGAGAGACAGAAAGCGAGAACTCACCCCTGCCAGGGGGTTGGCCATGCCACAATCCCTTATCCTCCATTCTCCTCTCGGGATCTTGGGCACACACACACACATGCCCGGTGTGAGTTTAAGTCACTGGGTCTGGGACTCAAACCGCAGTCGACTACATAGGAGTCCAGCGATGTAGCCATTACGCCAACTGCTGGTCCTGCGCCAATACTTTTTATAAAGCTGCAGGGAAAAGTCTTTTGGCTTTTTATGTCCCAGGGTTGGACAGAATGGTCTCTTTCAATGTTAACAGAATAAAACATAATTATGAAAAGTTAAAATAAGGCTATAATGTAAAGGATGGTAATATATGTGTAGTGTTGTTTCATCTGTAGAAAATAATAACAGTTTCTGTTTATTAAATAGTAGCACATCATTTTATCAGAACAAGATAATTTTGACCCTATTATTATCTCCATCCTACAGGGGAAAAACTGATGCCTAGAGAGGTCAAGGAGCTTGCTCAAGTCACACAGCTAGTTCATGGGAGAGCCCAGTCTTAACTCAGAACAAGGGACGGGAACAACCAACCAAATAACCCAGGTTTTTCCAACAGGAGCCCCCAGACCAGGCCTGGGACTAGGATGGCACTATGAATCTAAGTGCTTGTCATTTGAAATTCACCATCACCTTTTTTCTCATGTCCTAGACTTTGACTCTCTGCAAGCAAATGTGAAGAGCAACAGACAAATCATAGTTTTTGAAATATAAAACTGGCAAGCACAGTGTGATTATAGGCCAACCTGGAATAACAGCCAAGTTTATAAATCATACACTGCCCTGGGTAAAAGTGACGTCTGGTAGCTGCCACAGCTGGCTCCTAAGACGTGGGTAGCAACACAGGCTTTCCACCAATTACTTGCCTGCAGCAGAGACTGGGAAATATCTGCATTCTCAGGACTGTCAAAATGCAGGAGTTGGGAGCCAAACCCATAGAAATGTGGCCCCATTTTGTGGAGGTCCACCACATTGGCGTCTGCACGGAACACGGTCCTCCAGCCCTCTTGGTAGATCTTGGGCAGTTCCACAGAAAGGATCCGTCGCTTGTTGTCAAAAAGTCCTTTGGCCAGCCACAAGGGGAGTTCAAGCTTCGAGCCCTGCATCAGACAGGAATACAGACTTTTAAAGACAGATTATTAATCCAGCAAATGCTTGTGACAAAAATGGAAGTGCACATCACCTGAGTAAACAGACAACCTGGTTGTGACTTCGGATGAACCGTGTGGTTTTATGTCATGATGGAATGAGAGAGAAAATTGATTTACACAACAAAAACAAGGTAGAGAACAACAAAAATGTAGTATTAGGGGACGTTTTCTAACTAAGATAAATAAAAACTGACCACCTGCAGACACTTCAGAGCTATAATAAACATTTCTACCTTCTCTGAACATTCTGTAACTATCTCTCATATATACTTCCTGAGTGTCTACTCTGTGCTAAGCACCATCCTCAGTACTGGGGGAATAGAAAGAAAAACAGGATCAGCCTCAGCTCAGATGGCACTCCTCCCCATCCCACTTCACAGCATTCGAGAGGACAGAGAAGATAAATGCCTCTCCAAATTTTAAAAAGTCTCAACAGAATTGGAAAACAAGATGGGGTGGTTATGATGGACTAGAAACGAAGAGAAATCTCTTAAAAAATCAAAGGTACTGGATTGAAGGAAGCAACAAAGGGATAAAATTCTCACAAGGAAGAACTGTTGCAAAAGGTGGGAGCAGCGTTAGGGTGTGTAAGCAGAGATTCTGGCAAACTTCATAGGACTAGAGAGACAAATACTCAGTTTAAGGCTGCCAAAGCAGTTAGCACATGAGAGGCAAGATGTGCAAAAGAAGGAAGAGAAGTAAACTCATAACTTGGCATCGGCTATCACAGTAATTAGGCACCAACTTCAAAACAAATTAAAAAAATCAAGTGGAAATTCCATAATTGAAAGATCTAATCATTGAACCTAAGAAGTCAAGAGATTAATTTAAACAGACTTACATGTTAGATTTGACAGATATGAAGAGAGGATCATGAATTGGAATAAAGGTCAGTAGAAAATATCCAGACTAAAGCAAGGAGAGAAAATATAAAAACAAGCCTAAGAGACGCAAGAAAAATCAACAACCTGGGTACTCATCTCAAAATGTGTATATGGGGGATATAAATAAGAGAAAATTAAGTACCAATGAAATAGAAGGAAGAACTAATTAACAACTTAATTAAAGAAAATAAAGCTAGAAAAGTGAGAATTGCAAAGCCCCCCCCCTTTTTTTTCTTTTTCTTTCTTTAAAGACTTTTGGCTATAAGGTGCATATACTCAATGGTGAGACAGAGAGACAAAAAGTGAGAAATCACCCCCTAGAAGGGATGGCTACATGGCAATCTCTTCTCCTCCATTCTCCTCCTCGGATCTCGGACACACACACACCTGGCATGAGTTTCAAGCCGCCAGCTTTGGGATTCAAACCATAGTCGGCCATGTAGGAGTCAAGCAATGTAACCATTATGCCATCTGCTGGCCTCCTAAATTAGATCTTTTAAAAGACTAATAGAATTGGGCCAGCCCCTAGCCTAATGGATATGGGAGCCATTTCACATGGCTGACCTTGGTTCAAATCCTAGCCCTGGTGGCTTGAAAAACACTTTGGGCACACGTGCCCCAAATCCTGAGGGTAGGGAGAAATGGGGAAGAGATTGCAGCATGACTACACACCATTGAGAGATTTTCTCTCTCTCTGTTTCTTTCACAAGCATATGTAACCTCTGACAATTAAACAAAGAAAAACTAGGACCAGCAGATGGTATAACGGTTACATTGCTGGACTCTCACATAGTCGACTGTGGCTTGAGTCCCAGACCTGGAGGCTTAAAACTCACGCCAAGTGTGTATGCATGTGTGACCAAAATCCTGAGAGGAGAATAGAGGAAAAATGATTGTGGTGTGGCCATCCCCCTGGGGAGTGATTTCTCACTTTCTGTCCCTCTGGCCAGTGCACATGCCTTATAGCAAAAGTCTCTCTAAAAAAAAGAAAAAAAAAATCAGAACACTATAATCATACTGACAGTAAAAGAGACATTAAAAGAATATTCTGAGCATTATGTCAATACATCCAAAAATTTAGACAAAATGATCAAAGTTTTGGTTAAAAACCAACAAACTAAAGCTGACACAAAAATAGAAAATCTGAATAGTCCTCTATCTATGAGTAAAATGAAATGTCATAAAAATCCTCCTACATAAACCTCCCACACAGAAGAATTCCAAATAATGTAGAGTCTACACTGCCCTCCAAGGAGTGGGGCATGACTCCCCACTCCCTCCCTGTGACTGTGTATCACGACTTCCTTCCTAAGAGTACAATATCGAAGGTGGAGGAAACCCGGCACGGTTATATATTGTTACGGTGGGACCCTGGCAAGTTACCCCACCTTTCCGGTCTCCGGTCTGCTTATGTGCACGCTGACACTAGTGCGCCCTCAGTACACAGGTGCCGATACCGTTATCATTATGCAAGAATGAATCTAGCCATCTGCAGTTCTTGGACCTAGCACGGCTCTCACGGAACTCAAAGCTGTTTTGGCACAACACTGATCCTGAAATACTCAGAGCTTGTCTTTAAGCATTCAACGAACAGTGGCATGATGAATTTGGACAGTTTAAAACATGAAATCAATATTGGAGGGAGCCTGACGACCTAGGACAAATGTAGTGTCCGCACACGTGGCGAACACGACGTCTGGGGCCAACCGCTCTGCCAGCCGACGCTCGCAAACGGAAGCCCCAGCCTATCAAGCCCTACGGCCCCCAACTACAAATCCCAGAGGGCAGCGCGCTCGCGAGAAGGCGTCCTCCCCGCCGCGAGGCCCGCCGGGAGTCGTAGTCTTACAGGGCAGGAAACCGCGCCAACAGCTTACCTGAGGAATCGCGTTGTCGCCCTCGGGGCCTGCACTCCGCTCCAGGAAGAAAGTGCCGAGGCGGGGAATGGGGGTCTCTGTGCGCACCGGGAGCTTCTCGTGGGACATCAGGATGTCGTCCAAAGAAAGAAAGTTCTCCTCAGGCCCCAGCGCGCCCGACTCCACCCGGAAATAAGCTTCGGACATGGCGGCGACTTGAGATTCTATGCTTCCACTCGCGTGGTTCTGGTAATTTCAGGGAGTCCGGGGTGTAAAATGAGGAGGAGAAGGCAGCGCAAGATAGTTAGGGTTGGGCCGGTCGCTGCGGCTCTCTGGCCGTATTGAAACTTCTTTCCCGCCTTGGAGACCGGGCCAGACAGAAGCAGTAGATCGGGGCGGGACCACCGCGTCACGCGCACTGCCCAGGCAGAAGCAATCGATTAAGGCCAGCGAGGCCGCTGTGTTGGGGAGCTGTGGCTCGGCCCACCGGAAGTTTTCTTCCCTTGGCGCGTGTAGCCTGGTGTGGGTGGAAACTGGACTATCCATTGAAACTGTAGGATTGAATAATTTACACTGCGTTGCGTTCGTGTGGTCCTTAAAGTCTTTATATGAAATTGAAAACACTTTGCAACATGTTAGGAGACTTGAAATAAAAGCGTTGTGTGCCTTCCACCCCAGGCCTGATCAAATCTAACCTTTCCGTCGTCAACACTTTGACATCTTGGGGTTTTGTTCCTCCATAGTTAACTAATGTCTAGAAATAACAGACAACTTGCCTGCAAATATGCCTTTCATAAACAAACCAATCCCAGCCTAGATCCCTACACTTCTGTCTACCACACGCCAACATTTCCCCTGCACCAAATCACTGTGGTATTCAGCCCAGCCTAAGTACCAGACAGCTAATGATCACCCCTGTATCCCAGTACCTGCCAATAGTATCCATACTCTTCAGTCCCAGTCTAGCTTAAAACTCATCTGTGTTGGGGGACCAGCAGTTGGCTTTATGGCTACATCGCTGGACTCGGATGTAGTCCACTGTGGTTCGAGGCCTGGACCCTGTGGCTTAAACTCACGCCGGGCATGTGTGCATCTGTGCCCACTATCCCGAGAGGAGAATGGAGGAGAAGGGATTGTGGCATGGTCATTCCCCCTGGGGGCTGATTTCTCACTTTCTGTCTGTCTTTCTGGGGAGCGTGCCAGCGCCCTATAGCAAAAAACTCTCAAAAAAACCCCCCACATCTGTCTGCCATTGCTTCACCCAGCTTCCCACAGAAAACACAATAAGGGCTCTGGGCCAGGCTCTCTCCTCCCTCCATCTCCCTCCTGACTGACCCTGCTACTTCCCCAGGTGAACCTCTCTGGCTGACATGACCCCTTCTCTTACAATCTGAGTAATAAAACTTCAAATGCCATTGACCACTGTGTCATCAATCACCTCTGTCAACAAACTTCTGAGGACAATCAAAACAGGTACACTAGGGAACCAGCAGTTAGCGTAATGGCTATGTCGCTGGGCTCCCACCTAGTTGAAACCACGGTTCGCATCCTGGACCCGGTGGCTTAGAACTCACGCTGGGCGCGTGTGTGTGCGTGCCCAAGATCCTGAGAGGAGAATGGAGGAGAAGGGATTGTGGTGTGACCATCCCCCCTGGGGGGTGACTTCTCGCTTTCTGTCTCTATGTCTCTGTCTGTCTGGTGAGAACACGTGCCCTATAGCAAAAACCTCTCTCAAAAAAAAAAAAAAAACCCAAGAAACAAAAAACAGGTACACTAAGGACAGCAGGACTGAATTGTTGGAAAGCCTTGGGGAATTAAGCTATAATATGTATAATATGTATAATAAATATACATCTGCTGGACCCTAAATAAATAATTTTTATTTAATCCAGTTAAGACACTGGATTCACACATGGCCCTCTGCAGTTCGAGGCCAAGATTCAGCAGCTTGAAAATCAAACCTGGTGCATTTGCATGCACACTCCAAATCCCAGGAGAATAAGGGATTATAGCATGGCCATCCCCCCTAGAGGGTGATTTCTTTCTCTACCATAGCAAATGGGAGGAAAATGGTCATTTTTTTCCCCTTTGCTATAGGGTATATGTACTGGCCTGAGAAAGAAGGAGAGAAAGTGAGAAAGTACCCACCGAGGGGGATGACCACGCACAGTCTCTTCTCCCCCATTTTCTTCTCGGGATTGTGGGCATGTGTGCACACACGCCCTGTGTGTTCTTCAAGCTGTTGGGTCTGAGACTTGAATTGTTTAGATAGCCATGTGGGATCCAGCAGCCTTAACCACTATGCCACATGGTTGGCCCAAAATGGTAAGGTTTTTGAGCAACTATATAAATGTGACCTTTAAGAATGGAATTCTAGGGGTCAGCAGGCAGCATGGTGTTGGGATGCTGGGCTCACATGGTTAACTGCAGTTTGACTCCCAGACCTGGTGGCTTGCTTTCTCACTTTCTCTCTCTCTGGTCAAATTAAAATAATAATAATAATAATAAATTTAAATAATCTTTAAAGAGTTTTTTGCCTTAGGGCATGTGCATTCACTGGAGAGAGACAGAGACAGTGAGAGGGAAAGTGAGAAATCACCCCCTGGGGGGATGGCCCCACCTCGATCTCTTCTCCATTCTCTTTCTGAATCTTGGGCATGCACATGTACCCGATGTGATTTTTCAAGCCACCGGATTCAGGACTCTAACTGTGGTCGGCCATGTACAAGTTCAGCAACGTAACCACTAAGCCATCTGCTGGACCCTAAATAAATAATTTTTATTTAATCCAGTTAAGACACTGGATTCACACATTGCCCACTGCAGTTTGAGGCCAAGATTCAGCAGCTTGAAAATCAAACCTGGTGCATTTGCATGCACACTCCAAATCCCAGGAGAATAAGGGATTATAGCATGGCCATCCCCTAGACGGTGATTTCTTTCTCTCTCTCTCTCTCTCTCTCTCTCTCTGTCTCTCTCCAGCAAGTGTACACGCCCTATGGCAAAAACTAGAGAAAAAAAAATGAAGATAGGAATTCTATGACTTGGATGAAAAAGGAAGAGATTAGATGCTGGAAGCCAGCCTAGAGCTGTTCAGTGGGAAATACTTGGCAACTAATTGGATATAAGAAGTGAGATATAGAGAGCGTTCCAAGATTCAAGTTTAACCTGACCAGGAAGACAGAGATGTCATTGATATCTATGTATGTACGGATTACAAGAATAGCGGCAATTTGAGGCAAAGGATGAGTTCAGTTTGGGACAAACTAAGTTTAGAGCTACTAGACAGGCCAGTCTGCCGCTTGTGGAGAAACCAGCCTAAAAGCTTTAGAGTTAGGAGGCATCTATTTAGAGGTAGTTATGTGAAGATTTTTTCCCCCTTATCATATTTTAAGTGTTTCTAGCTTGCTACACACTGCATTTTAAAAGTAAACGTAATCTCCAGTGATAGCTTAGAATTTCTCTAACAAAATGGATATGTATGGTACTATATATAATCTGGGATAAATACATAAATTAGTTTGTCTAATTGAAGGCAAAGCAGGTTATTTACTGCCAAGGGGAGTAAGTTATTTTTGAAACAGTTATAGATGCTTAATGGTTTATTGATGTCAAAGAAAGGCATTATTTTTTGTATCAAGAGAGAATATTGTCTCTAAACTAAAAAAAAAAATGTTATTTAATAGTAAAGTAACGGGCCAGCAGTTAAGATAAAATCAAATTGCTTTCTTGGCTCACCATGGAAATATCATTCATCGCTTATATGTTGTTACCCTATTTCATCTCTCTGCTCCTTGAACTAATAAACAAAGAAATAAATCAGAAAGAATAAAATTAGTGAAAATTTGAGTTTGTGATGCTAAATTGCATCAATTCATTTGACAAAAGTAGCACATGGTTTATCAAGTATAGATCAGTTTATAACTTACTTCATAAGAACCAGGGATGTTTCTTTTCACTGAGAAAACTGTGTCCCTTAACATCCAGCCAACCAACCAATGCACCAGAATTACACAACTATGTGATTTCACTATGTCCCTCAAAGTTCATATGTTTGAAACCTAATGCCCAAATCAAAAGTGTTCATTGAATGGGGAGGGGGGGGGCGGGATTTAAGAGATTATTAGTTAATGGATTCATGCCATTTTCAAGAGAGTGAGTGAGTTATCACCGAGGTGGGCTCCTGATAAAAGAGTAAGTTCAGCCCCCACACTCTCTCTGTTGTGTTTGCTTGTCCTGCCACAATGAGACAATGCAGTGTGAAGACCTTTGCCAGACTCTTGTATTCCCAGCCTCCAGAATGATGAGCCGAATTATCTAGTCTCCTAGGACTGTAGTATGTTAGAACACAGCGTGAGTGTTGTGGTGAACAGGTGGTGCACTCCTTTTATGACGCCCTTAGAAGTCACAGCCTCAGAAAAGCACACAGGCTTTAGATAAGCAAAACCCAAAGCAGCTTCACCTCTGTTTTAAATACCAGCATTTCCTACATTTCTTTCATTGATGATGAGGTTGTGATGCAAGGAACAGAAATCTAAATCCGGGGGGTGGGGAGGGCCTATGGGAGGAAGAAAATAAAAATGTATTGAACTTCATGTTTCCAGTTGTGTGCTCAGGTTAAAAGTTCTGAGGTTTTCTATGGTTCCCTTCCACAGACCCTAACACTCTACAACTAGCCCTTTAGCAAATGTTGGCTCTCCCTTCACATTTTTTTCTTTAGATTTTTTGCTATAGGGCATGTGCTCGCCAGAGAAACAGAAAGACAGAAAGTGAGAAATCACCCCCCAGGGGGATGGCTGCTCCTCAGTCCCTTCTCCTCTATTCTCCTCTCGGGATTTTGGGCACACACGCACACGTGCTGGGTGTGAGTTTTAAGCTGCAGGGTCCAGGATTTGAGCCATGGTTGACTACGTGGGAGTCCAGTGACATAACCATGATGCCACCTGCTGGTCCCTACCCTCACACTTTTGGGACCTGACCACTTCTTGTCACTCTGATCCCAGCCACCATCATCTCTTACTTGGGGTTTTGCATCACCTCTCTGTCTAGTCTTGAACATCCCAGGCACGCTAGCTCCTCAGGCCTCTGTACTCTCTGTTCCCACTACTTGGATTGCCTTTCTCTTGGATTTCCCCATGGCTGGTCCCTTTCAGGTCTTTACTCAAAAGTCAGTGTCTCTAAGAAGCCTTCCCTGGTCGGTCACCCTCTCTAAAATGTTAACTCTTCTTTTCACTTGATATCCTTCTGCTGTAGTTTGAATGTGTTTGCCCAGATTCATGTGTTAGAAACTTAAATCTTGCTATTGTTTCCATGTTCTCTCAAAATTCATGATGGGATTAATAGGGTGAAAACTTAATCCAACTATGGTATTGAAAGGTGGTGCCTTTGGGAGGAGATTAGGACTAAGGTCATTAGGGCAGGGACTGACTGGTGAGTTTATAAGGAGAGGGAATTGAGATCAGAGCAGAGATACACAAACTCTTGCCTCCACCATGTTGCAATACAGCCCAAATACTACTTCTTTTAAAAAAAGAATTATTTTATTTAACTTTATTTATTTATTTATTTATTTATTTATTTAAATTTGACCAGAGAGGGACAAGTGAGGGGTAGTGAGAGAGCAGGCCTCCAGGTCTGGGACTTGAACCACA